TTATCTCCCCGTCCCTAACTTGCGGGTGTAGGTTCTTTAAACATAGGGTTAGATGGCTTTCACGTGATGTGGTGGAAGCCGGCGCCTTTGCCCAGGCTAAAACCGGTGCAAGAAGCTGCAGCTCCTGCAAAGAAAGGATCTGTGGTGACCTCTGGATGTCAGCGTGTTGGGGGGGGGTGATATCTCCGCTATGCGGGAGGCGAGCCTAGATTAGAAAAAAACGCAGCAAACGTGCTGTTGTGTAACTAGAACCACGCAGGCGTCGAGCATGCACATGTTGTGTCTCTGTGAAGTGGCTTTTCTCCAACAAATCGCAAGAGTTAGCGGCTCGTCTGCCTTAGGGAGTTGCACAAGAGCTCTTTGAAGTAGCTACGCCGATACGTACTTTTTGTAGTATTACTGGCTTAAAGGAGTGCTAGGATAGAGGGCTGACCATGTTTAATGGGTTAAAAAATAGCAGTCCTGTAATTGGGCATCACAGAGCTTGAAGACTGTTCATAAAAATGTCACTGAGCTCTCTTTTGTTTTTGTTTTTTGTTTTAACCTTGAACAAGATGGATAATTACTTGAAGTGAAACAAAGCTAAGAGAAGTAAAACTTCACCTCTGAGTTTTCTGCTACGTACTGTTTATGATGGAGGTGAAAAGTTCTTGTGTTTTTTTTTTTTTCCTTCAACCCTGGTTTATTATAGAAACATAAAATTAATTTTACTCTTAAGGAATTTTAACTGCCCTATTACTTTTTGGCACTGCAAACGAACCACCCTATGCAGTGTAATAAATGTTTTTTCTATGTTGTTACTAAGGTTATTCTCTGCCTTTTATGTGGGTGACTTCAGAGAATGCGCCAAGGATAGGATAAGAATTCAAGGCTTTTTGATAAACTTACGTGCTACCATCATATAAAAAATGAACTAGACCTGTTATTCATAGATGATGAAACTGAAGCGTGTTAAGGCCTTTATGGGAGAAAAAAAAAAGCTCTAAAACTGTGCAATTGTGTATTCTAGAAAACATGCGACAGTTACAGAAATACAGAGAATATTGAACAGGGACTATTCTTCAGTAAGAGATTTGTACTCTGTCATATGTGAAACCCTACATAGGATGTTTGGTGGTTATAATTGATCCAGACACCATTTGGAGGATGTAATGACAATATGCGGAAGTAGTCTAAATGGCTTCTCTAGGTGTACAGAGTAGCGTTCTGTTAATTTTCAAAGTCTTGGGCTTTTTGGTGATATGAAGGGAATTCTCAGCTCAGGGGAAAAAAAAAAAAGGATATTCGTTTTTTCTAGAATGTATTTTCTGTTACTCAGTTATACATGGCCTTAAGCTAGCGTTTTTTATGAATTTAATTTTTTTAATTAGTGCAGAACCATTCCAACAAAGTCATGTTTTTGTTGCATTGTCATTGTAGCACTTAATTTAATGGATGTCTTGCTCTTACGATCTGTGGTCATCACTCAGAAATACAATCTCTAATTCTCTGCAAAGCAGTTGAAGTTATAAGCTATGTAATCCTTCTAAAGCAATTCCTTGCGTAGTCTATTTTGAGACTGTTCTGGTTATATTGGTAATATTTTTCATTTTTCTACTCTATGCTCCTCTAATGACAGACTTTAATTAGCTAATTTTACTATTGGTATTTAACATATCATGTCTAGTTTTAATTTACCCAATATTCCTCATACTGTCCTAATAAATTGTATGACTTCTCAGTCAAAGTTTTTCTCGTCATTTGATTGTTTTGATGTACTTGGTAGATGTTTGTATGAGTAATGCTGCATTGAGCATATGAAGTTTGAAGAGATTGCTGTCTTCTGACTCTTTCCTTTCCATCTGTTGTCTGTTTCCAAGTTTAGAACTTCTCCTTCTGCAAGAATGGTACCCCTATTGCTTGCAAAAATGGCTGCCTCAGAATAGTCCCTTAAAAAAGAAGGAAGATATGAGAGTCAAACTGAAGAAGCATCAAGCTGTGAGAACAGTTTTTAAGTCTATAGTTCTGTAACAGATCATCTATCAAACAACATCAAGGAAACAATATATTTTGTGAAAGTTAAGTTTTATAAAATGTGAATGTTCTGTTTTATTAGGAAACCTCGCATCCTTCCCAGCAGTTTGTTCTTACCGTTAGTGCTGCGTAAGAATAAGTGATGTGAAAGGAATGACAGAAAATCAGAAAGGGTATAGTTTAATAGTAGAGAAGATTTCTGATGTTTTAATTCAATCATTCATTCAGTGTAACCAACTCTGGTAGACGCCTCCTGGTGAACTGGTTGGTGTTACAGACGTTTCCTTCCCTTTCTCCAGCAGAAAACTGGAGAAAGCGCCTTTTCTCTCTTATCCAGACTTGCTTCGCACCTTAGTCCTTAATATCAACTTTTTGGACTCTCCAGTCAGGTAAATATAGAGATGGCCAACACTATTATTTCTTGCTAAAACTCTTGGGTTTGTGATGGCTGGATGGTGATAGTGTGGTCCAACTAAAGGATAAATGGGATGTTTTTTCATGGTTGTCAGAAAGAAATCTTGTACTCTTCTACTTCTTTATATTAAATATGGATGTGACTGGCTTTATGATGAGCTTTTGCCTTGGTATACCCAGGAGAATTAAGTAACATAACTGATAATAATTTAGTGCTTACTGCCATAAAAATCTGTGTTGACTTAACAAGTGTATTGTATCATTTTTGCTGCAGTGCAGAATTCAGCGGTTTACATGCTTTCACTGTTAAACTCAACTTTCTTTCTAATTGAGGACTTCATATAGTCTCTGAAAATGCATTTGCAGGCATGAAGTGGAAGTCAACTGAACTCTGTCATGGGCTACTGAGACACGATGACATTCATGATTGTGGTGAATGGAAATCATGGCAAAGTCTAACATGGGAGGGAAAGACGTGAATGGACAATGTGGCGGGACTCGTTCAGATTGCAAATTTTCTGCCTGCTCCTGGCAGTACTGGCTATTGTGGTGCTGGTCCATAACTTTCTTCAGTTAGAGGTAAGTGAAGCCTGTTTCTTCCGCAAGCAGGCTTTTGAGCAAGGTTATTCCTGTTTGAGCGTAAGGTTAGGATTGTGGTTAACAGCTTTTACCTACGACTTGGAATCACAGAAAAATTCAGGCTGGAAGGGATGTCTGGTGCTCTGTAGTCCCACACCCTCCTCAAAGAGCAAGCTTCAAAGTTGGCTTGAGTTGCCCAGCTGAGTTTTGGCAGTCTCTGAGGATGGGAGATTCCACAACCTGTCTGGCAGCTGGCTGTACCACTCTCCTAGAGGACAAGGTTTTTCTTATATACAGTTGGAAATTCCCTTGGTGAGACTTGTAGTCATCGCTTCTTGTCCTTTTGCTGCATGCTTCCGTGAAAAGTTTGGTTCCAATTTCTCTATAGTGAAAGACTGCAATTAGATCCCCTCTCAGCCTTCTCCAGGCAAAAGGAGTCTGGTTGCCTTAGTGTCTCCTGTTACGTGATATAATCTAGCCCCCAGATCATTGCAGTGGTGCTCAGCTGGTCTCTCCAATTTGTTGACTGTCTCTGGTTCTGGTTGGCCCAGATCTGAACACTGTTCTAGATACAGCCTTGCCATTGCTGAGCAGAGGGGAATTATCACTTCACTTGATTTCCTGGTGATGCTCTTTTTAATTCATTGCCGTGAGGGCTGTGCTCCTGACACACGTTCAATTTGCGGTCCACCAGAATCCCTAGGTCCTGTTCTACAGAGCTGTTAGCTAGCTAGTTGGTCCGCAGCCCGGACTAATGCGATTTTTCTTTGCCTTTTTCTTTTCTCCTCTACTGTGTCTGACGTGCATACTTAGGCATTTTGCTTATCACTGTAACGCAGAGGTAGTTTCAAACTGCATTACTCAATATACCCTTAAATAACTCTTTGTTTTATTTAACTTACCAGGCCAATCTGAAATAATCTTATGAGCTGTCAAATCTTGCTATGATGTTGTGTCAGCTCTCTGGGATTTGATCAGTTTAATAGAAACTTACTGTATTTTTAATGCAGATCTATTTCCCTCCCCTTCTAGGTGGTATCTAGAAGGTACACTGTTTATTTTTTGTCAATCTCATTTGAGGTTTGTATGTACATGTCTTCTGTTTATTTATTTATTTTCTTTTTAATTAGCTGTCATCTGTCTGTTCCAAAAAGGACCTATGCACATTATACTAAGATGACTTTGCCAGCACTTCCTTTTTTTTTTTTTTTTCCATTCTTATTTTAAGACTTTACTCTTAAGGTCGGCAAAGGAAGACAAGTAGAATAGTGGTTTGACATACTTTTCTGTTGACATACTGTCTCTTCTCATCGCTCTTTTTTGCAATAAGTTGCAGTAACTCACGAGTTGCATCCAGCAAGTTCAGTTCAGCCTTCAGTGTTCCATACTCATCTGTAAGATGAACTGTATGATATGGGTACATGCGTGGCAGGACTAGCTGGTATGTTAAATTGTCATTTAACGCATACTCTTATTATCAAACTTCTAACTCCATGATGGTGGTTTTGCAGGCTGTCTATGGAGTACTTGCTGCACTCTCACAGATCACAGTTCAGAAGTCACTGTCCTATGGCATCAAATATTGGAAGGGATCACACAGACTCACACAGAATGGCGGAGGTTGGAAGGGACCTTTGGAGACCATCTAAGTCCAACCGTTGTGGTCAGAGCAGAGTCAGCTAGAGCAAGGGTGTACCAAAGATCCAAAGCCCAGCTCTGATATGGCCCAGCTGTGTAATCTTGGTTCAGACTTCTAAAAAAAAAAAACCTGCTAAGTTATGAGAAAGAGCTGTGGAAAAAGTCTGTAAAAAGATAAGAAAAGTGAAATTACAGACTGATGTAGGACTGTCGAGGGAGGATTGTTAGTAGCTCAAGGATTCAAGAGGGGAAACGCCAGCATGAAAAGGTACAAAATCCTAAAATGTTTGTAAATCTTTATGCTGTCATAGGCTGTAGTGTGCAACTCTAACCTCTCTTGGTTGTGTTGACTTTTTTGAATGGGCCTGCTCTAGTAGGGGTCTCTGTCTTATGCTTAGCTTTCTAGGCAGTCTAGTATAGATTTTTGGCTAATTCTTCTCAGACAGAGATCACAGCCAGAAAAAGTTACAGAAAGCTTTCACAGAATAGCTGTAATCAAATCCACTGAGGCTCTGGAAGAAGTCTTATTGTTTGTTATTGTTGAAAACGCATTTGTAAACACATCAAACACTCCTCTGATCACCAAGCCGTTTAGTTCAAGTTTTCTTTAGCTGGCTGTCTTTTTTTTTTTTTTAATCAAGCTAACCACAAAGTACTTGATAGGCTGCTTGTTGTGTAATTTATTTTTTGGTATAGAATCACTTCACCCTTGAGGTCCAAGGCTGGCCACTGTACCAGAAGAAGTGTCATTGTTTGTGCAAATACAACAGCACAGATTGAAATGTTTAATTACTTTGTAGAAAGTATCAGGTTGTTGCTAAGGAGCAATGTCATGATTTTAGAATACGAGAGAGTTTGTGTGTATCTTTGGAGCAGCAGAACCAGTTCGGGATTGGTTGTGAGCATCCTTTTATTTAAAAGTACTTTGAAAAGAGAGAGTTCGTGGGGAGAGGGAAAGTCTATTGCAAGGACGAAAGAAGAATGATGTATGTGAAATCAAACAGCTGAAATTGAACAAAAGAGCAAGATAACAAAATTTCATTTTTTCATTGTTGCTGCTAAATTGCAGGTGCCTGCAAAAGGTAATGGCGTCTTATTCAGATCATTGATGGAACATTAGTCTGTCAGGAGATGGCTTGTTAGGATTGTCTTGACATTTAAACTAACTTAGCAGCCTCTTAGTACTGTGAGACAGTAAAGACAGTGAACTGATCTCATATCTGTCTTAGGCAACAAATTGGGATAAAGTACCTGGAATGTAAAATTACTGAAAATAAAGATGACTGACCTTTTAGTAATTGGTGTTTACCCAGTTTCATATATTGTCTGCTACATAAATTAGGAGACGTTATTGGGAGAACCTGAGTATTTGTTTTTTTCCACATCTGTCATCTGCATATCTCCTGTGCTCTAATATTCCAGTGACATATACAGGTTTACAGCAATTGTTCTAAATGTACTAGGCCAAGCTAGGAGTTACAGCTGATGGAGGATATTGGACTTTGTGATATAGATGGAATTCTACCTTTGCTGAGGTAATTGAAATATTCAGCATTTTCTGTTTATCAGCCACCTACTTTCTTGCATTTAACTGGGAATAGATCTTCATTGCACGTCTAACCCAAGTCCCCTGTGGTCCTGGAAAACGTTTGACAATATGGCTGTCTTTATGGGATTACAGGTTATATCTTATTTTTGTGTAGTTGGCAGTGAGTGTGCAGCTAAAACCAGAATAACTGAGCTGAAGTTTTCATAGGCCCTCCTTTTCTTCCTTTTCTCCTGCTCATTCCATCTCTCTCAGGCACTGGTAACAGCTTGCTGACTTGTTTATGCTTTACTGACCTGTAATCCATTCTGTCCAGCCTACTTTGCTCAGCAAGCATCCATTAAATTACTTTGTGATCACATTTGGGTTCTTGTTAGCTGCTGAATGCAGCAAATAAACAAATATTAGGAATTGTACTCAAAATCAAGACATCTTGAATGGAATATATCTGGAAAGAAAACAAGTAGGGCAAGTGTCACCCAGTATAGTGCTTGTATTAAAAGCGAAAAGAACATTTATCATAAGATAAAGGAAGAGGGCTTTAATCATGAGAAATGCTATTTGTCTGCCCTATTATAAGAAATTTAACTTTTTTTTTGCTGCTGACCAGAGTAGAGAGGCCACATTTCTGCATGGCACGAGTCTGAATGTAATTGGTATGACTTCTTAACATAACGAAGCAAGAGAGACTTACTTGGAGGTGCCAGTTAAAGAGGGGACAAGGAAAGGAATGGGGACAGACCAAGGTACTAATCTGCCCCAGGGCAAGCTATGTGTATCTGTAGGGATAGGAGAGCTTGAGCGCTTGTTGGGAGATGACTCGGGGAAATCCCTTAGAAAGGAAGACAGTTGGGAAAGCTTTTCTGCCCCAGTCGTGGATCTTTGGTATTGTAATTTACTCTGAAGCTTTCCTTGCCTTAAATGGAAGAGAGAATCTCTGTAGTATTTTCTCCTGTGCATGGCATGCGTAATATAGCTTAGTGTCACAGGTTAGCTTCTAATTCTGCAGTAAGAGTTGGGTCTTGTTTAGGCTTCCGAGAGGGGCGTGAGGATGAACAAGCTCTTTATAAGAAGAATTGTCCTTCAGGTTGTTGAAGATTGGCTTAGGAAATATTTGTGCTATGGTCCGTTCTGCTTCATGGAGCATAACCTGGAGATGTTGGAGTTGAGGTGACAACGCTAGTCTAGGACTTCAGCTGCGTGCAAGTTAAGAGCCTTTTTAGCATGACGCTAGACCTAAGCTGCGTAGGGGGGCTGCTTTAGACACCCTGAACTGTATTCTCTGCTCTGTTTTGTGAGCAGTGGTTCAATGTTGTCTGCATCCTTTTCCACTGAAAGAGATAGGTATGACCTTGGAGAGACTTCACAAAGGCTGGCTAGCTCATGAACAACGTCTTGTCTATCTCTGATGGAAAGACTAATTTAAATACGCTAAGGAAATTTAGAGAAGGTTTAAATAGTAATAGGTCTGTTTTAAGGTCTTCTTAAATAGCTGTATCTATCTTATTTGTTTGGAAAGCACTTTTTTTTCCCTCCCATTGACGTACCAACCATTGAAGAACCAGCAGAGCCCTGAAAGACAAAGTTTTGCCTCTTAGGAGCTAACTCTGAACCCAAGTATTACACGAATGTACATTCCCCACCCCCATAGGAAAATGGTTAAATTTTTTTCCTGACTCGTGCATAGTCATCAGGCTGTTGAGTGCTCTAAAATATACAGTTATTCGTTTGAAAAGCTTTCCATGCAGTGACCATCCAATAAACCAATATTATCTGTGCTGTTTATATGCATGCACAAGTGAAAGGGAGAGGTTGTGAAGATTGTGTTGAAAATTTTATATCAGAAAATAGAAACTTGGCTTAATTTGAGAACAGATGTAGGCAAGATTTAGGGTTGAAACATACCAGTGTTTCATTCTCAGCTTTGCCTGAAATTTACTGGATTAACGTAAGTAATGCACAGTGATACATCTGCATCTTTGCCTGCTGTGATGGAGAATGGAAATACTTAGGAATTACCTCGGATGGACTATGGGGAAACTTTGTTAAATCCTAGGTGGAAGTGTAAAATAGAGGCAGAAGGTTCTATTATTGTAATAGCATTTTGTGTACCTGTGAATACCTGTCAGTTTACGCTTTATAGTTAACATGGATATCAAACAAAGTAAGAGGATAATTGCCACATTGGGATGTAGGGTGCTTATACAGAATACTCTCTTAAGTTGATCAAAACTGACTTCTTATGTAACAGGCTTCAAAAGCCTTTAAGTTATTAATGCTTTGTTAGATTTACCTTTTTATTTTTTTTTTCTAAAAAATATTTTGAATCTCTGTTCCAATGGCTTTAATATACTGGCAAATTGAACTAAAATATATCAAAAGGGGGAAAACTATTTAACACATGTCACATAGTGTACATGTTACATATGGACTAAGTAAAGTTTAAAACAATAAATGAGGTTTTAATGTGAGTACTGGAAGTTTTAGTACATTACTGAACAGTAAATTATGGAGACAGTGAACAGAAAGCACTAGGTTATATATAAATTAAACTTTAAAAAAACCCCGAAATACTATATTTTTGGTTTTTGGCAATTTCTCAACTCTAATGTAGTATATTCTCTGATGGCCAATGAATGATATGTTGTATAACTTCATCTTTACTTGAAAAAAGAGTTGACATAGTTTGCTTCTATATGAAATGTGAGTATAGATAAGTTCTGCTGTATACAGCTGATAATTAAGCGCTCATGATTTGATGATTTTGTGCATATTTGAGGTATAAGGTTGGGCTTGCTGATTAGAAATCTCATAGGTGACTAATGCAAGCCTGCAAAATTGTGTGAGGTCATGAAGAGGATGGTTCTCTGAAGTCACAGCAAAAGTACCTGTCTCTTAGTCTAATGTAGTATTTAACTTTTTAAATTTTTGAATGCTTTTGTGCATTGGGGGATGCTTTGCCAGTGTTTCATTTAGCTCTAGAAGTGAACATGTACAGATTGAAAATCCCTGCACACCTTTTTGTGGCCTGTATAGTCCTAACTTGTCCTAGATTGTTTTACCCCCACCCCCCAGATCATGAATTCATTGCCCCTGAAACGTTTCTTTCTTTTCATCCCTTTTTTTCAATCTGTGCTTGACAAGGAAGCCCACGCTCCGCTAGTTAGATTAGAAGCGATGTGAGGGTGACTGGAAAAGTGACTACAGCCGCTACGTGCAGCAGGCTCTTCTAGAAGGCACGTGCCAAGGCTGCATCAGATTTATCCACAGTTTAATGTTTCAAAGGAACCCTATTTCCTTGTATTGTATTGGGGAGCTACTTGGCCTCATTGTGCTTTGAGATGAAAGTGTTACTACAGTAAGGAAGTTAAATGTTAGTTGCCCTTTACTAAAGTGTTACTACAGTAAGGAAGTTAAATGTTAGTTGCCCTTTACTACTTAATCTTAGGACCTTGTTGCCATTTTCACATTACTGATATTTGCAGAATACGCTGTTGTCCAAAATATTGCCACAGAAGATATTGGCCCTGCTTTATATAAAAGCCTCTTTGCCACAGCAGAGTAAAATGGCCTTTGGGTAACCGCCAATTGCACACCTGTTTCTTTAGAAATCCTATGGCCAAGGTAATTAATTTCATTGTTCTAGTACAGTCGCTGTATTTGGTAAGCTTCAAATCTCTGTAAAGCAAAACACAGTGTTAAAGATCATTTCCTGACAAAGCAGCTATTATTCGCAATGTTTCATATAATAGCACAGTTTCAGGTAATTTTTTTCCCTCCCCAGCACCTAGATGACATCACAGTTTCAGGGTCAAATTGGATAACAGAAAACAATGACCGGCATACTCTGTCACAGAAAACTAAAACTGCCAGGAAGCTTTACTGTGGTTATGAGCAGCAGACTTTGTCCAAGAGAGAACAAGCAGAAGAGGAATCGTTGCTTGCTGCTATACGGTGGCCAAAACCCCCTGAGGGCAAAATCGCTTTTGTCCAAAGCACTGATCCTGCACGTAGTGATTTTGTGATTGTGAAACCCAGTGCCCTCTTCAAGGTGGGTGATCAGTTAGAGGTGCTGATTCGGATGAGGGATTTCCAAGGAAAACCCAAGCAGTACGGTGGAGACTATCTACAGGCACGAATTCACTCTCCTCTGCTGAAAGCTGGAGCAGCGGGAAGGGTTGTAGATTGCCATAACGGCTTTTACAAGGTCTTTTTCACTTTGCTTTGGCCAGGAGAGGTCAAAGTATCAGTGTCGCTTGTCCACCCGAGTGAAGCAATCCAAGTTCTCCTGCGCTTACGAGAAGAGAGACCAGACAGAGTCTATTTTAAAAGCTCATTCAAGTCTGGGAGGTTTTCGGAAACCACTGAGTGCAACGTGTGTTTGCCTGGAGATCTCCCAGTCTGTAACTTCACAGATCTCTACACGGGTGAGCCGTGGTTCTGCTACAAGCCACGGAAACTGTCATGTGCCAGTCGAATCAGCCATGCCAAGGGTGGATATCAAAAAGGTCTTCTGACTCAAGAGGAAAGTCTCTTTTTCCAAAGGTATGTCTGTTCTTCAATTTATGTGCACTCAGTCAAGTAATCCATCCTTTCTAAAAAAAAAAAAAAAAAACAAACAAACAGACTTAAGGTTGTTGGTGAAACATGGTAAATTGTCAGCCTTAGAGGAGGTGCAAACTAATTCTAGTTGGATGTGGGTTGTCAAATATTTCCTTCCCCTCCCTACAGCTGTGCCAGAACACAGTAATCTCAGACTAAAGAAACTTGAGTGTAGTTCTATCTCTAGGCTTTGAATCCAGCCCTGAGTGCACCTGCTAAATTTCACAAGAGCATGCTGTCTAAATCTGGTGGTGGTTTGGGGGACTGCTTCCTTTTTTTTTTTTTTGTTTGTTTCTACATCTCTTTTCACAACACCAACAACTATCCTCTGATTTTTTTTTTTTGGCAGTCTGAACTACCTGTTTTAAAAAGTTTGGTTCTTAGGCTTTATTATTACACAAACTTAATGATGCTTGTCCTCAGCAAGGCCCTCTTAAACATAATGCAGTGTGTTCCTTGTTGCTCAGTATGACCTTCAAATCTTAGGCATCACTTTAGGTCACTCCTGAAAAAAATGCTTGGTAGAACAAACTGCTGAGCAGTAGATGCATAAGAGGAAATGGTCTCTGCATGCTATCTAAAGTGTCAAAGTAAAGTAGTTTCACAGTCTTTTGTTCTTCTGGATTGTACTTGCTTTTTTTTTCTTTTTTTTTTTTTTTAACTGTAGTGTGTAGGTAGACATGATAGGACTGCTTTTTGTCGATACCCTCGGCTGAAACAAAACTGAGTTAGTTACCGTGTAGCGTCAGAAATGTGGTCATGGGCTACTGCCTTACTCCCCAAAAAAGGGGCTGTAGGAAAGTTTTGACTTTCAGCAGTGTCCCCGCTTGACTGGGAAACATTTTGGAGTAGCTGTTCCAAATAGTGTAATTAGAGAAGTGTGTGTGTGCATGTTTGTAACTGAAGACCAGAAATCAAAAATAAAGCTCAATGGAATTGTTTTTTTGGCTATTATTTATAAAATTTGTAAGCAGATGTTTCAACTTCCTCTGCCTCAAGTGTTTCACCTGTAAAATATGGCTGGTGTTGGCTTTGTTTCCAAATGGGACTGGGAACTTTGGTTTGTTCAGCTTTGAGATCCTCAAATGAAATGGTTTATAGAAATTCCAAATAGTTTATTATTTCTTAAAAGGAAAAAAATTCAGAAGGGGGGTTCTCTTTAGGAAAAAAAAGAGAGAGAATTTGGCATTAAACCTCTGTCTGTCACAGCTTCACAGAGCTGACACGTATCCAACACAAAATCGTCAGATTTCAATGATGTTCTCAAAGACTTCTGGGGCCACTTAGTGTTTAGGGAGCTTAACTTTATATGCAGTAAATTGCTGTACTACTAGAAGATCTTGCTGCTGGAGATCTCTGAAGTTGGCTGGACGCTGACTGGTGCTATGGTTGCCCACAGAGGCAGATCACCCCAACGCCAACGGTAGCATAGCCTAGAGCTAGAATTGCAGATCGTGGTGGTGCTGGAATGCTGCAAGCTCTGTGATGTGCTGCAGAGCAAGCTGTGGGGTTACGGAGGCAGAAAGCGGGAACTACCTCGAAAAAAAGGTATTTACTGTGGTAAGCTCCTACAGAGATCAGGCAGAGCCGGGAGCAGCTGCTGCAGTGTACCCTTTTCAAGTGGTTTGCCTCCTGGCAGTGGTACGCGTACCACAAGCTGGGAACTTCCCATCTTTGTGGTAAATCCCCCAAAGCAGATAGCACTCTTCTGATAGCTTAATATACTGCTTTATCTGGGTTTGTGTTAGTAAAAATGTACATGAGACTCGTGTTCTACTGTTACTAAATGTTGACCTCTGACTAATTGAGAACAGTGATAGTGGCCAGAAGGAAATTAATGCACAATTAATTCAGTTACAGGAAGAAAGGTGAACTCAAAACAAAAAAACCTTACTGTGAGTTTTGTGTGCCTATTCAAAGTCGGTTAAGAAAAAGTGAGGTTAATGTTACCTTGAAATTTTACAGCCTGACTATATTATTCTTATCATCTCAATTTTTGTTCAAGTGATGTGAATATCAAAAGGCCGATATTCCCCAGTGGACCTGATTCAGTGATTGTAAAGCCCAAGGCGTTAACAGGTAAAATAAACTTTAGAAGATTCTTGTGTGTAATTCATATGTAAAGTCATAAAAAGACCGATAGGCATGAGTTAATAATCAATCGATTTGTTTGTTTTCCTAGCAGAGAATAGAAATAAATATTTAAATTCATATTGAGAAATTGGAGGTATTCTAGTGTTACTGTAATGTAAGCTCAGGACTATTAACAGAGTACGTCTAAAATCATGTTGCTAAACAGGTTTTTTGACAAATAATAAAAAATCTTGAGTTTGCTGTTTTCTTACCAGAGGTGTCTTTTTTTTCTAGCATTTGCTCAGAGGTGTAAAACATCTTATAAGAACTACTCACCAAACTCTCAAGTTAACCTGCCAAGGCAGCTTTGGGGTTTTGTTTCATCGTTTTCTCTTGCTAAGAATTTTGTGTAATACATTTTGACAATTTGCCTATAAGTATTATCATCATTGGTGTTACTACGGAGTCTAGGAACCTACAGTTGTGGACCGGAACGTAATTGTTCTCAGTGCTCTCCGAGCACAGAAAAAGACAGTCCTATGTTAAGCTTAGAGGTTTTATCTTAATTATATCCATATGGTCACTCTTTGTATGCACATGTTTTATGCCGCTAAAATGCAAAAAATGTGATACACAGAGAATTCCTACTCAATTGGAAGCTTTTCAAACTGCTTTTCTGTAAGGCTGCAGGAAATGTTAAAGCTGTAGTTCCTGACCTGAGCAGTAAAGTCTTAATAGAAAACAGCCTATAGCATCTCTTGCTTTTAGTTCTGCTATTGCTGCTAGTAGGACAGCAACAGTTTTCCCTCTTCTTTCTCCAGACCCTTTAGATGAGTGTTTTTTTTTGTTGTTGCACAATTGCTTAGTTTTTCTTTATTTCCTCTTAGAAACTGATGCAAATTTGAGAGTTAATGGTGTCACCCTTCTGTTTAGGTGGCAGTTACCAATGGTGATTAAAGCCTGCTTGTGTTTCCTGAGGATTAATGATGGGTTAGAAAGTGTTGATAAGGGAGGCACAGTATTCCGCAGGGAAATTCCTTCCAACAGAACAGTCTACATACAATAAACTTAATAGCATGGAATAAGGATCATGAATGTTTGGATTTCTTAGGATTTATGTGCAATTAAATTCGTTGCTTTGCCATTTGTTTTGTTGCAAATACATTTTCTCTGGATGTGATCCTGGGAAAAATGCTCTAGAGGACCCTGCTTGAGCAGGGAGGTTGGACTAGATGATCTCCAGAGGTCCCTTCCAACCTCCACCATTCTGTGATTCTGTTTGGGAGGGGAAATGTAGATAAAGTTTATTTTTTCAAAATTATCTTTTCTTCCTCCCTCATGCTGTATCATAGCTTGCTTTTTAACCAGTACGTTTTCTGAAATATAAGCTCCTGCTTTTATTTTTGGATTGTAATTATTCAGATTGGAGCTTTTACCTAAAATTTGAAAGTAACGACTTTTAAACTTCTGGATCAGAGCTAATGTGATACTGAAAGCAGAACTGAGATGTTGGTGTTAGATTTACTGTGAGGCATCAACAAGCTGTTCTAATTTTATGTGTGTAAAATTAGAATTCTACACACAATCTAAGTTCTACACACAATTCTAAATTCTAATCTAAGAATCACTTAAGTAAAGGTTAAAAAAATACACATTTTTAACATCAAAACATTAAAAAAAAAATTGAAGTTATTACAAATTAGTCTTTAATCACGTGCTGGGGCTTTTCCTTTCCCTTATATGGCTCCTGTTTCATTCAGGCTAGATGACTGAACTTTACTGATTGGGGTTTTTATCTTCCTTCATTGGGCCTGGTGCCTTATTTACTACTTACTATTTAAATAATTATCTGAAAATAAAATTACTAATTTTATAAAGACTTTTTCTGTGGTGCTCATGACTATATTGTTTGTGCAATGCAAATGCAGCATTAGTTTGCTTTTACAGCATCCCTGTGAGATCGAAGAAGGCTAAGATCTACTGATGTAGGACACAACAGAACGTTGCATAGAACTATTAAGTCCAAAAATGCGCATTACTGATGGGTTTTTAAAGATGCCAAAGGTCTGATTTCTGAGTGGTTAGAAATTTTTGGCTACATCTATGCTATAATCTGAACATCTACTAGAGGATGCTTCTAGGCACTGGAACTCTACTGCCTGTACTCTTACGTAGTTAAAATGGTCCCTGGCTTGATTTTTGACCATGGCAATCCATACCTTTCCAAATAGCTGCAAGTTAGGGCATGCTAGCGACTGTCCTTAATAGGAAGTTACCATGCTAAGGTAGCTAAAAGTTTAAATGGGTGGACATGGAGTGTACCATGCAGCTGGATTTGGTGCCAGGGAACAGCTCTGTGCTTGTTCCATGTGCTGCTATAGATGTCGCCATTGAGAATTCCTACGTTCAGACTGGCCGTTCCAGGCAGTGAGAGGGAAAAGAGGTCTGTAGCAGAGGGAAAGTCTGAAATCTGTGCAATTAGAGCCTATCATAATTCATACGTGCAAGGGTCACATATACAATTCTTGGTGATAGCTTTAGCTCTAGCATTTCCTAGTTTTGGAGTCCTTATGATTCGGACTTCATTCTTTCTGCATATGTTGGAGGAGCAGGGGTTTCAGTATATATGTTATTCCATAGGTGGCTTTTCTTCTTCTTCCCCAACCCCCCTTTTCGACCGCTAGAGGGGAGAAGTGCACTTTGGCAGAGAGGACTACTGGAACTTGTTGACAGCAAAGGAATAGCGAGGCTCAGGGATTCTGGGGTCCTGTCCAGACTGGAAGAATCATGTTCTCGGCTGATCTTCCAGCCTCTGTTCCCCTATGTTACCTTCTGCACCCAAGATAGAGCGCTTCTGTCTAAAATGTGAAAAATGGCACGTGTTTATTTTTACTTTTTTGTCATCAGAGAGAGCAGGTAATTTAAACTGTAAGTGGTCAACCAACTCTGTCAGTAGTAGTGAGTTTTGCTGCAGAAATAGAGGGAAAAGGCACTTGGGCTGTATAGAGATGTGATGCTTTGAGCATTTTAATCTGTTTGGTGTATTATATTGCTTTACTTTAAGTTGGGGAAGATGTTCATACATCACTGGCTATATGCCTATGAAGGTTACGGAGGTTATTTTTGTTGTTGTATACTAACTTAAAATAATTTTCCTCTTCTTCTAGATTCAAGTGATATAGACAAAGCTGAAGACCCCAATGTTTCCCCTTCTGGTTATTATTATCAAGACCAGTGGAGGCCCAGAGCACACAGGATCCATCATTTTAATGAGTCAGATGATATTACTAAGTGCTTACAAGGAAAAGCAGTCCACTTGTTTGGAGACTCTACAATAAGGCAGTGGTTTGAATATCTGACAGAATTTGTTTCAGGTTGTTACTATTATTATTTTTTGTTTTGTCCTTGAAAGTCCTTTGCAAAGCTTTATTTCTCACATCTCAGATACAGAGTTGGTCTTTTTGAATGTTAATGGCAAAATAAGGGAAAAGGAAAGACAAAACAACATCTCAGGGGCTGGCAAAAAGGCATTCAGTCAAATGTCTGCTGAAGTGCGTGTGGAAGAAGGCCACAAAGTACCTGCAACATTGTCGTTATAAAATGTTCCATCAGTGAAGGACCCTGCTATTAGCGCTGTGAGTTAGCATGTGGCCACCAGGCGGCCCACCATACCGTGGTGGGGGCCTGTGTAAGGCCTTGCAGGAGCCCAAAAACATAGTAACTTTGGAACGGAGTAGTAACTGACTTCTGTTACTGTCGACTGGTTTTGAACTCTTTCTTCCATTTTCCCTATTTCAGCTTTTCCTTAAATAATAGAGCTTCAATAGCCAATTAAATATTACTCTGTCCCTCCCCCCCAACCCCCCCCCCAAGAAATTAAGTTTTGTTGAAATGCAGACTTTGAGAATTATTAATGCCCACAGGTTAAGTATACTTTAAATTTAATGGAGTCCCAGAGTTGCCAGAAGGCTTCCCATTAACACTGGGTTCAGAGGGCAGTTCCGACTGTAGGGGCTTATTTTGAAAATTCCTTTTTTACAAGAGAGAAGAAGAAAAAGCAGGCTGGGAAACTAGAAAAGGGCATTGGCATCCTGGTGAAGCTGAAGTACGCTGTCTTGCAAGCTTCGACGCTCTTCAGCTCCACTCTGAAATATGTAGATAGTACATATACAATACTTACCTTTTTTTACGGCGCTGAGTATTATGTTAAGGTTCCCTTGTCTATTGTTACTGTTGCCCTACGGCCGTAGCATCTTGTGGGTAGTGCAGGGTGGCATAAGAGATGCAACTAATGCTTGTTCTTGGGTTTTCAGATCTGGTGGAATTTAACCTGGGGAGTCCTAAGAATGTGGGCCCGTTTATGTCTGTGGACCTTAAGCACAATATCCTACTGAAGTTCCGCTGCCATGGGCCGCCCATTCGCTTTACGACGGTCTTCAGCAGTGAACTGCGCTATATTGCTAATGAGCTGAATGGTATTGTGGGTGGCAGAAACACTGTGATAGCCATAACTATATGGTCCCACTTCAGCACTTTTCCTGTGGAAGTGTATATCCGGCGGCTGAGGAACATTCGCAGATCAATTATTCAACTTCTGGATCGCAGCCCCAAGACTGTAATTGTCATCAGAACTGCCAATGTTCAGGAGCTTGGGCCAGAAGTGAGTCTCTTCAACAGCGACTGGTATTCCTTTCAGCTTGACTCTATCATGAGGAAAATGTTCTCAGGAATTGCTGTGCACTTTGTGGATGCCTGGGAGATGTCTCTGGCTCATTACTTGCCACATAACTTGCACCCAAAAGAAGTCATTGTTAAGAATCAAATAGATGCATTTCTATCTTACGTGTGCCCTCTACAAACTTAGCACAATTAGCTATCCCTATTATCGTGTTTTGCTGTAGCCGAGGTAAAGTTGCTTCTCGTCAGAGCTAGCAAACTATGCTGGATGGCGTGGAGGAACTCTGGTTATTGCAATTGCGTGCAGTGTCAGTTGGCTGGCCTTAGCTTTGGGAAGCTCTGAAGGACAGTGAGGAGGGGTTGACTGTTCAGGCCATATCTTCCTGCAAGGTTGAGTCCTTTCAACCTTATCATTCCTATCTCAGGTTATTAGAGAGCTCCTTAAATTAAATTGACAATATTTGATAGGAAAGTATGTGGGTTCTTAGCTTCGCTGGTTGCCTGCACTGCACACTTAATCTGTACAACACTGATTCTGTTGCCAGAGTCTCGCTGCTCGGAACTGTGTGGAACCCAGGAAAGCGATTTTTGGGAGCGGTCTTTCTCTTGACGTTCCATGGTTGGAGGGACATCCCCTCCAGTTATACAACAGTCAGAGAAGCTATGTGCCATGTCTGTTCTTCTTTCAAAGCCCTGACTAGAAATCTGAAGGTGTCCTAAAACCACCAATATCAATCAAGGAAGCACAATTAAAATATCTATAGTGTTTATCAAGTCATCAAGAGTGTTTGTTGGAATTTAATAGAGCACACTAATTGGGCACCCTTGGTGTTTTCAGATAGCTGCTAAATAATGCAAACAGCCAGCCCTTTAGGTTGGGTTCCTGTACCACTGCATCTCATCTGAGCTTTGATACACTGCCTACTTCTTGCTTTATCTGTAAAGGAGAAATGTGTGTTTGACTATTTTAGTGAAGACACTGTCTCAGGTAGTTTCTGGAAAATAAATTAAAATGGCAGGTATGCCTACTCAAAGCTTAAGGTACTTCCTAATGAAAATGTTTACCTTCTCTGTTAGATAAACCTACTCTGTTATGTTCCCACAAAGCTGGGCTTCTGCGTTTGGTATGGAGGAGCCAACTGATTTGAACACGCTTGACAACGTTTGGTGAATGAGTAACAGTATGAGCCTGTCACACACTAATGTCAAGGTCATATGACAGCTCCCTCCCCCTGTGTTTGGCAGTTCTTTTATCATTTATTCATCAGCTTCACTGCTGCCAGTATAGAGGTTAAAAAAAAAAAAAACAAAAAAAACCCACACACGCCCAAAAACCAAACACGTCCAGGGTTGTCCTCCATATGGATGCTTGGTAAATGTTTGCTATTTTACTAGTGTTAAAGTTGGTGGCCTTGGGGCCTCTCGGAGTGGTGTTTTCTGCTGCTAATATGATTGAGCCTATCTGTAGTTTTAACTCCATTGCGCTTTGTTTTAGTGATTTTATTAAATTCAGCCCCCAAATTAAACAACAGAGAAGCGTTCAGTGCTGTCTTATTTCTGACCCCGCTCAAGCCAAAGGTAGTCTTTGCCAGTAGTTTAACTAAGAAATGTGTCAAGACAGTAGCGGAGTGCTTCTGAAGAAGCTCATCATGCTTGAGGAGAATACGAAAGTTGATTCTTTTGGGAGCAAACTGAGAAGATGAAGATTAATAAGATAAATTGGTAGGCTGCATGGAATGAATTAATTGAAATTTCATCGTATTAGAAATGTTTTACTCTTTGCCAGATTTTGTGCTATATTTAGGAAGATTGTGCTCTTACTGCTGGAACCTGAAGAGAACTAATGCTATCAGTTACAGGGACAGTGTCTTATGCTGTTTGTTCATTTTAAAGGACAACTGAGAACTGTTTTAAAAATGTAAATGCTTTTAGCATCTGAAAGTCAGTAGCATCTGTTTATAAACTTACTAAGTTTAAAAAGTTTTAAAATGACAGGAGGAGATGCATACACGCAGATAGCATTGACTCTTACCTTTCCAGATCACAATTAAGGAGGTCGAATTTGCCAGTTGCTACTGACAGCTGCCTCACAAAGTGTCTGTTCATATGTTAGCTTTAGGTAAGTTTTTCTTACTTTAATATGTTAATAGAAATTTATCCTCTGGTAAAAAGAGACCACATGAGTTCAGATCTGGGAAGGTAAACCGCCACAATGCAAAATGACCTTTCATCTTTTCCGGGTGTGTTTTTTATAATAGGCAGAGAATAAGGCTTTCATCCTGAATAACAAATCTATCCAAATAATGTTAATGAACATAAGACGCTTCAAGCTTTGACTTTGAAGGAAACCACCTAATTTGTGGACTAGCCCCTTCGGTTTTCCTCATAAAGCCATATCATGTGTGACTGTGCTGTGGGCTGAATGTTGTCGCGTTCACTACTGTTCCTCAAGAGCAACTTTGTATAGCTATTATAGCTATCAAGAGTAAATAGGCAGGAACCAATCTTTGAATATTTTGATAACTGAGGGAGAAAGAATAGGTTTGCTATTTGCATTGATGCCTAATCACCTTCTGGTAGACTATCTCTCTTTTAGATTAACTAGATTCATTTGTTTTTTAATAACATTAACTTTTAGGTCATGAACTTTAAGGGAATTGCCAGTTAATTTGGAATGAGGATCAATGTTTAATTTCTTTTGGGCTCAGAAATAGGAAGGAGAAGGGGAAAAACTGTAGAGTTATGAATGTTAAAACAAGATGAAGACTGAGAACACTATTCTTTTATATGTCTTTCAGTTGAACTATGAATATATTTTTGTTTCTAATCTTCTCTTCTTGTTACCAGTTGCACCAGTTGTATATGTACTGTATGTAGAAATGTAATCACAAGCAATAATATATTTTAAAATTGGGTTCTGTCTTTAAGCTTTTAAGCTCCTAAATGGATTTTAAGAGAGGCTTAGGTTAAGCTGTTGGTTGTTTTCCAAGTTTAGTAATATGAAACGGGACTGGAAGGGAATTTCTGGGTTGTCAGGTATCTTCCTTCACATGTAAAAATTCATCTCTGTCATGAGACTTTCAATGCCTTGTTTTCTATTTCTTTCCATTGTCTTCAGTTGAAGGGAAGAAATAGTATTAGTCTAGATACTTGCGTTCCCACCCTGAGCCTTTTGATTATTAACCTTTCAGGACATGCACAGTGATTTTCTGCTCCTGATCATTTCGAGAATCTTTGTATCTTCTTGGGCTGCTTTATTAGTTCTAGAACTTCAGTGAAAACATTAGTTTAACTATTGGAGAAAAGAGGATACAAATCAGAAGTTGCCGTTATTTTTTCAAGTTTTCAACTGTTTCTAATTTCATCCATTATGCACTATTGCACCTTTGCTTTATGAGATTTGAACTACCATTTTTCAATGTTTTTATTGTTAAAGGTAAGCATTTCAAATATGGGAACTTTAACTTGATAGAAGGGTCTATATTATTTCTTGTGTACCACAGATGACACTTTTGTTTGTATATGAGACAAAATTGAAGATTTAAACTTGTCTACTGGGAAGGGTGAGGGTATTGGGGTATTTGCTTTGTTGCAGAAGGGTGTCTTAAAGTCTTTTCACTCATGATAATTTAAGCAACAGCAAAGAAGTAAAATCACAAATGCATATTTAATTTATAAAGCCCTTATTGCTAAGTCCAGGTCACTTCAATTTTAATTTTGCACTCTTATGTATATTTAGACTGTTTGGAAGACTGTCATCTGTTAGTAGCTGTGAAATACTCTGTATCTGTATGTTAGAAAAATAACTTGTTTTCAAAGTTGTTTTTTTTTTTTTCTGATACGTATATGTATGTTATGGAAGTGCTTACAATACGAAGAGGGCTCTAATGCATTTTCTTTCCTGATATGATTAAAAAAAAAAAATCACCAAAATGTTCAAAGAATAAAAAGTTCCTAATGAAGTGGGCAAGTCTGAGCTCTCTTATTAAAACTGTTTCCTCTGATTTAGTCTCCCTGTATCTTGTTTATCTTACCCGACATACTTTCCTTTCTGTTTTTATAGTTGCTTAGAAGTGTGTCATATTTCCCTTAGTTGTGCTGTCTGTTGGGTAGAAGTTTTACACAATGGCTTATAGATTAAAATCACTCTGAAAGATTCCCTCCCCTCACCCCCCCCCCACCCCCCGGTGATGTATGTTTGGAGCGGAGTCATCTGTGCCAGCAGCACAAGCTTGGCCAGAGACCTAGTGCTGAAAGACACTGTGTTTCCTGTTGTGTGTGTGTGTATTGGGCCTGACGCATAAGAAAACTTTGTGCATAGTACAAGCCTCCTTTGTTAAGGGCTTTAGAAACCTAACTGGCCAATGGAAAATCCTTAGGCCGCTTCATTTTAAAAAAGCAGCGTGAAGAACATGGATCTGATGCAGTGCAGGCATTGCTTCTCTAGCTTATGACCAAACAGTTTTTGCCTTAGGAAATGGAAGAAAAATCACGCGTGGGCTATCAGACCTGTAACGGATCTCTGTTCTGTAAGTCAGTGTGTTGAAGGGCTGCGGGGCATCCTGTGTCCCCTGGCTGCGTCCCGGATGCTGTGTGAGGCCCCCAGCTGCATTGGTGGGGTCCCCGCAAGGGAGGGAGCAGCGCAGCCTGGGAGCCTCTTGGGTGATTTGAGGGCCAGGACGGAGGAGCGAGGGGGCCGCTACAGGGTTGCCTCAGAGTTACGCTGCAGCCAGGATTCACAGCTGGGCGTCAAGTATGTGGGATGCATCGGCAAGTACACCCCTTTCCTCATACAGATGCCCTCAATAATACCGTTTGACTTGGAAAATCCCTGAACTGCAAATTCCTGGAGGCTAGCAGAGGTTGTACTGAGGAAGTAGCATTAAGGGTTTGCTGAAGTATGCACAGTATGGAGCTTGGGCAGTGGTGTGATCCAGGAGGCTGTTCTTACCTGTTCCTCTAGGATCAAAGGGCCCATTCATCCCCCAGCCTGCTCTCAGCAACACGGCCCGGCAGCCACTAGGGAACAGGGCCGAGGGGATGTACAGCCTCTCTCCTCTTTCTCCCTGCCTTTTGCCCTGGAAGCTGAAAGTGCAGTAGCAGTGCCCCTGCGTCCCAGCTGGGTCAGCGTTTGCTTAGCCAAAAAAACGGAAAAGGGCTGCAAAGCAGGAGATCCTTTGTTGTGTGGTGTGAGATAAGGCCCCAGGCATGATTAGAGGAGAAGTGGGAGTGTGGGAAGGGAAGCAAGGAGGACAGGAGGGAGCTGCAAGGAAGGATGTAGCGAGTGCAAAGGTGTTGGGCCCCTTGGGAATAGGATTGGGAATTCGGTCGGGCAGGTTCCCAAAGGTACCTGCTGTGGGACAGTCACTTCTGCGATATAGCACCCTAAAATATTTATATATATTTGTATGTATATATATATATGCACAAATACATTTCTCCAAATGTGTCAAAAAGGAACAGTTCTTCCCCTCCCAAGGCTGCTCACCCACCTCATTCTCTACTCCCTCACTACAAGTAATGCCGTGGCAAAGATTTGGCTAAGTACTGCTGCAAAACTTAGTGCTCACAGTCTGTTTGAAGCCTTTCAGGCATATTCTGTATGCGCGACCTTCGTTCATGCAGACGTGACAGATAAAACAGGTGGGGAACTTTTTAAAACCAACCCAGCATATTTACAATGAGAATAAGAAGCAGTGCACCAGCAGGTTTTTGTTGTGTGTCATGTGCTTTTTGGAGCTTGTGGTGACTCAGAGAAGGTACGTAACTTGCCTAGCTGACACAGGTATTTAGCAGAGAAGGGACTTGAACCTGTATTTCTGAAAGCAAGACTAGTAAGGCCAGACAGATAGACAAGTGGCTCACCTGAGTTGGCAAACAGCTGAGACTGCAGGGTTTCTGATCCAGTTGCAATGGGACTTCTTGTGTTAATCCCAGGGCTTAACACTGCATCCCCAATTAGCTAAGTATTGCGTAGCTTCTAACGTGTTTGCTGTCCTATCAACAATACGGGACCAACGTATTTAAAGTTAGGGAAACTTTTTTTTATCTTCCTGAATGTGGATCTTTTGAGTCTTTCCTGAAATGTTAGTTCAGGTGCTTGTCACCCAGATCTGAACTCTGATGTTAACCTAGCCGATACCTGGGCAGTGACTCTCCGAAATCCTGTCCAAATTACTCTATCCTCCTGCACTGTTGGTGTCACTAACCTCTTGTGGGCATATTCCACAGGGGGTAAAATAAGTTGGTCTGCTTTTGTGATTTTCTTGCCATCAATTGTACAGGAACTTCTCTGCCTGGGACAGAA